TCAGATAAAAGTTATAGGTAATTTAATATTGTTTAATTTTATGTAAAAAAAATGAAAATCGGTTGAATGCAATTAAAGATATTTAGAATATAATGAAAACGTTTTTTCGCGGTACACGAAAAACGCTAATTTCGCAATAACTCAAAAACTGTTCTACTTTTTGTATTTTGGACTTCATTTTCGGACTCAGTGGACGATTTTACATAAAAAATGACTATCATAAGTCATAGGTCAGAAAATTTTTTTTTATTTGTAAACTAGTGTTATTAACTTATAATTTATTAATACAATTATTTAAATAATTTTTTTGTTTTTTTTTAAATCAAGCTTTTAATAATATACAAATAAAATTAATGATTCGTTAGTTTTGAAATATTTAAAAAGACAAGTTATTTTTGGTAAGGAAACCCTTTCTGTTTGATATGTTTATGACTATCATAAGTCATAGGTCAATTTTGTTGTAAACTAGTGTAATCCTATCATTCCAATATTGTATTAAAAAAAAAATATATTCACTGATATGACACACACACTATTTTTTTAATAAATATTAATATAATTCTAAATTCTCATAATAAAATCTTTTGATCTTATAGGTTACTCAAGGTATACCAGCTATTAAGGTAGAAACATTAAAATTTTTAAGTATATCAATAAAGGTGCCTACCTAGATTTTAATGAGTCCAACATACAACAGCATTGTAACAATGACAGCAAAATTAATTAAATTATAAAAAATCAAAGGTCTATACATAAATAAAAAATTTAACCATTAATACAAATTTAATATTTTAGCTTCAAAATAAAGCTAAAAATCTTTTTAAATTGATCTCATATTATATCTAACTCTTTTACCATAACATAATTGACGAACCTTTACATAAAAAATTTCTTGTTTTACATTACTGTACCCTGTTATCTACATAGTATTAAATTTGGTTATATGAAGCATGAATATATGGTAACGAAGTGTGAAATAAATAGTATAATTTAACTGAAGAAATAAACAACAAACATATTTCCAAATAGGTCAGAATTATATTAGAAAATAAAAACAATTTATACAATTTATTTCTTGGCTGCAGCAGCTTTCTCATCTTCACGTGCATATGCAGCTAATAATTCTTGCCTATTTTGTAAGAATCTTAATTCTTTACGTTTTCTTGCTTCCTTAGTCTTTTGACGTCTGGCTTCAGCTTGATCACTATCAAAAGATAATTAATATGTATATATAAAAACTATTTCTTTTGTTTAAATAAGTATCAACTTAATAATAGTAATTTATAATAAAAATTACCTTAACATTTTAGCACGAGCTTTTTCTGCTTTCTTTTTGTGAATGAATTCCATTAACACACGCTTATTTTTGAAAACATTACCCTTTGCTTTCATGTATAATTGATGATATAGATGATTGTCAATTTTCTTAGCCTCACGATATTTCTTTAGTAATCTTCTTAATACTCTCATTCTTTTTACCCAAAGATCCTAAGTAAAATTAAACTAATGTTTTTGAAGCACATTAAAAAAAAAAGAAGTAAAATTTACTTTTTGAGGTGTTCTGGCATTAGCTGTTCCCTTTCTTTTACCAAAACCACAATGACGACCTTTTCTCCTGGCTTCAGCATTTTTACGTGCCCGGGCTCTAGAATGTACAGCTACTGGTTTCTTAATAATTAAACCATCTTTGATTAATTTACGAATATTTTGCCCTAAAAGGATATTAAATAGTAATAAAATTTCATTATGAATGTTATTTTATATGCTTACTTGAGTTTGTATTAGCAATTTCATTGATTTCATTAGGATCTAACCAAACTTTTTTCTTACCGCATCGCATAACCGAAGCGGCTAGACGTTTTTGAAGCTTTAATGAGCTAAAAAATACTTAAATTTATATTCATGTTCGTATTTTTCACACATACGATTAAAATTATTTTAATGATTTATAGTTAAAACGATCTTTATTTAATAAAAAAGAAAATTAACACGTCAATATTTTTTTAATTTAACGGTTTAATCGAGAATCTCAATATATAATATTATCTTATAGTACAAAATGGACAGTGAAGTTATGAATATTTAGATATTTGGATTAAAAATTAGATCAAGTTCAAAGAAAAAGATGAACTTAAGCATCGAGTCATCAAAATAACTCGTATCATAAGTTGTTATGGATTCCCATGATTAGACAAAAATATTACGAATTTTTACCTTCGGAAAAGTTTGTATTTAGGATTTAAGATTTAAATCAATTTTTATAAGTCAACATATCAATATAAATAAAGTAGTTCAATACAATTCACATGTGGCGTTTAGTGTACTTAGATTACATTAAGTCTTTTTTTGAAATCAAGGATTAATTATTGACACAATAATGATAATATAATATTTAATAACAATCAAACTAACTTACCTCATATTCACTAATGTACCTAAACGTAGTGAAGAGAATTAAAATCACACCACGAGAATTAAATAAAAAGGAATTTAAGTTATTCTCTTGTGAAAGAGTTATGTTGATAACCTCAAAAAATCTGGAAGAATAGCTTTTTACGTGACGCTGTTCATGCACTTTTTTTTCCATGAAATATTTATTTTTCCATAAACAACATAACCTATTTAATTGTAATTCACCGATACGCTCGTTGTCAGGGTTCACCCTACGTGATTTCTTGTGTTGAGCGTTTATGGACGGACGTCTGTGGTGCTCATTTTATAATTTCATTTGTTGATAATTGCGAGCTCACGTTTCGTGTCAACTTAGACTTAAAAGTAAGTACAAGGGCCTCGTTTTTATATTATTCAAAAATCGATTAGATCTTCAAGAAATTTATATCATATAATGATTCTTATACTTAAATATTGTCATGATTACTACCACGTGTACAAGTCGAAGATATTTTTTGTATATTAATTTAAACTTTACTTTATATTAACTTTATATCTTATTTTACATTAACTATTATTATTTGTTATCAAGACTATATATAAAACTTGCATTTTTAGTTGAACGCTTAATATTCTTAATCGTTTTAGTAAGAACAATTAAATAATAATTCTTTGTTAAGTTTGTTTTTACACATTCTTGAGAAGAAGCGTTTTCAAATGACGACGAGAATTAGTTTTTTGATTTAACATTATATTTGATGACTGAATCTGTATTTATATATATAACCTTATTTTAGTGTAAACTTTGAAACAGTTTTATCCAGGTATTATTTAGAATTATATAAATTATTTGAATTTATTAAATTTATTTTACTCTGTCAATGACATAGAATTTCTAGTTTTGAGTAATTACCTATAGAAGTATGTTAACTATATTGTCGAGTTTAATTCATTTCATTAATGGCATGTGACAATGGGAATGAAAAATTGTATAATATGAATGTTATTTTCAATTTCAGTTTTTATTTTTTTATATCTTTACTGATTTATATAACACAGTTTATATTGTGTGTAATTGGTCATGAAAACTGTACTGTATTATGTAAACCTTAAATGTTAAAACGAATCAAGATATTTAGTTATTAATGTGTGAACGTAGGTACAAGTTCAATGTATTTAGTAATAACTTTGATTTGTTAAAAAAACTTGATAGGTTTTAATTTAGGTAGAATTTTTAAAAAAAATTTTCATGATGAGACTATAATTTTACCATCTTTCGGGTCTGAAACCTGATGATAATATGTGTCTGATTCTGTAAAACTACTTAAAAATGTCTTGTTACCTTTGACTTTTTTTTTATAAAAATTCTATTTTATGTTTCACATAAGTTTACAAATTATCACAAAGTTATATTACATGAATTTTAAAACTTAATCATCCAATAACGGTAGCATGATGAGATTTATTTTTAACCATCTTTCGGGTCTGAATCCTGATGTTAAGTAAATAATCTGATTCTACAGTTAAATTTTTATATTGGTGTAAACAATATTCTAGGTAACAAAGTCTTAGTCAATTTTAATAAATTTTTAACTTAATAGAAATTATATAACTTTTATTATTGACATTTCTAAATTATCAATTACTATACTTATTGACGAAAATTTTTATGTAATTGTGTGTATATGAAAATAATTGTAGTTTAAAATAATTTTTTCATCTTGTCCTTCCATATTTTACTTAACTTTAGGATAGCCTTGTGCAAGGCAAAAATATAAATTAAAAAAAAAGAATAACTAACAAATTCAGTTTTTTCTGCAGATTTTACGTGTAATTAATTTATGTATAAACTAAGTATCAAGTAAAAAAAATAAGCACTTTCTATTAAATTATCACTATTATCAAATATATTGATTTGTGTTGCATTTATTAGGATAATTATTTTAAGGACTAGTTAAATATTTTGTAATACAGGTGTAAATTTTAGAAAAATTAAAAAATCTATATTTAAGTTCTGAGAATGTTCAATTATTCAAAACATTAATTTAAATCATGATGAATAACTTTATCACCATCTTTCGACTGAAATTACTGTTGAATAATGTTTTATCTGATGTATGATGCCTCATTTATCTTTTTTAAATGATGGATATCTCTTAAAATAGAAACTAGAATCACAACATGGTCTTAAAATATCATATTTTATTTCTATAATATATAAAAGCGTAATTATATCCTAACAGTTTCATTTATATTCTTGTTTATGAGGCAAACTCTTGATGTTAGTAATTATTTAAATTAATAAGAATTAATTTTTATTAATAATCAATAGAATTATAAAAGTTAATTACAAAAGGATTTGAAATAATTTAAAGTTGGTTACTAAAAAAATTATAACTTTGTTGTTTGCTTATGATGATTAAACTTGATCACCATCTTTCGGCTGATAATTGTTTGATGTACTATTCATAACTGATAGCTTTCAACACATTTTGTGGATAGTTCGATTGAAAGAAGTAAATTATAGAACAAATACTCAATTTAACACGTTTATTCGTATTTTCAGAATGCGTTACGTGGCCGCATATTTGCTAAGTTCCCTTAGTGGAAAAGAACCATCTAAAGATGATATCGAGAAGATTTTAAGTTCAGTTGGTATTGAATCTGATTCTGAAAAACTTAGCATTGTCCTTAAAGAATTGAAGGGCAAGAATGTTGATGAACTTATTGAAAGTGGTAAATATTTTCTTAATTATAAAAACAAGAGCATAGAAAGTGTTGTTTATTAATTGATATAGTACATTATTTAGAGTGAATTACTCTAATTTTATTCAAGTTTGTATTGAAAATGGAACAATAGTTGCTAAAAATTAGGTTAACAACAATAATTTTTATTTGAGAGGAGGGAGTAAAATAATTTAAAGTGACTCAATTTAAATAACTGTGTCTTATAAAATGTCAAAAATTATATGAACATCATTAATTTTAATCATTCTATACAGGCAAAGCTAAATTAGCCAGCGTACCAAGTGGAGCAGCCGTCGCTGCTCCTGCTGCTGCAGCAGCTGGTAGTGCAGCACCTGCAGCCGCTGATGATAAGAAAGGTAAATTTTTCAATTATTTTTAAAAATGCCTTAATTTATATTAATTTATTATTAATATATTTAGCTGCCAAGAAAGAAGAAAAAGCTGAAGAATCTGATGCATCTGATGATGATATGGGCTTTGGATTGTTCAACTAAGACTATTCTGTAAGTTATAAATTTCTTTATGATTTTATTTCATTAAATTTATATATCACTCTATAATGTCTTAATAATAAAACATAACTTAAAAGGAGTCTTTTCTACAACAAATATCTATTCCATTTCTAAAATTTGTCCATTCCATATATATTAATAAATGTCAATTTTTAATTTTTGAACTAATTCTATTTTTTGAGTTCAGTTAGAGTTTATTTGTTAACAATTGATGCAGGCTCCAGCGGGTTATTGTTTTGTAACATTAATCTTCCTAAGGGTATGCTAAAGTAATTTTATTTGATTTAATACAGTCATTTATTAAAGTTAAATGATAATAAAATCAAATATAAACATGATATTTTTTAAACAAATAATTTAGTTTACCTACTCTAGAATATTTATTAGAGAAAGTTAACATTTTTCTGTTAAAATAATAATCCTAAAGCTTATTTTTTTAATGTTTAAGATATGATACAGAAAAAATTGTAATATATGTTAATTTATCATTTGATAAATTTAAAAATTTGTTTATAGTAAAAATAACAATTTTTATTTTAAATTAATTCCATTAAATAAAGAATGACTTGGAACCTTTTCTACTAAAATCTTAAGTTTTTTTTAATCAATAAAATTTTTGTTGTAAAAATAATATTATTAATTTTTTTTTTTTTTTTAGGTTTTTCTTCATTGACACTAAGTATTTTGTATATTAAAAGTTGATGGTTCAATAAAACAACATACAATCAAAAAAGTCTTTTTATTTATGTCCTGTTATGTTACTAATTATTTATGTTAATGTATGTATGTTATTAACATGTAAGAACTATTACAATTTGAAGAAAAACATTTGTGTAGAGTTTAGCAGTCTTATGATTATGCAAAATGGAGAATATTGTCGAGAAGTTTAATATTCATATGATAATTATTGTATGGGAAACTTGTAAAAGACGTCTTGAGATAAAATTATTTTTTTAAAAGTTGTGACCACGCAAGTTGCATTGTGTATTACTATTGTAATACTATTCTAATCTATGCTCAATGGTGTTTAACTTAGTAGCATTTATATAAATTGAACTAACATTTTGTATAAGTAATTTGATTTTGTAGATGTGATATCAACTATCTTATTTTAATTTCATTGATATTTCTAATATTAATTTAAATTTTTTTACTACGTTATATCATTGTTCTGTAATTTAATTGAATAATCAAAGAAAGAGCATTGAGGTATGGAATATAGTTCTGATGGGATTTTCTTTTTGTACATTATCTTCATTCTCCTCTCACATTGATTAGTTATTTACTCTACTACTTGTACCACAACACATAACTAACTGACATTTATTTGAATATTCTACTTAGATTATTTATACTTTTCATACTATATCTGATAATAAATTTATATTATAAATATTTCTGTTATAATTTAAAAATATTATTGATACTTTTTAATTTTTACCATATATAGGTACAATCCTAGTTTGTATGGAACTTAATAACTGCAAAAGAAACGTAAAATGTATGGGGCTTGGGCAAATGTTTCCATGTACTCGACCTACGGACTGGCATCCACTCGAAATCCCTGAGTATTCCTATGTAATTAATAAATAGTATATGTTTATATTAATGAATACATACTTCATAGTGACGACCTAACGAGTCGTAATATTTATTTGAAAAAATTGTTCCATACCGGCATAATCATGGGATATTTAGTATTTTAATTTGTTTCACTGTTTAATCCAATTTTCTTATGAATAATCAAAAGTTTTTTGGTGTTTATGAAACAATGTCGTTTTATAATTATTATAATTCATTTTGTTTTATAATTATAATTATAATTCAGGCCAATATTAAAATAATATATTATGTTTTTTGCTGTTACAACCTAGTTTGAGTGACGAAGTAGAAATCATTCTAGGGGATTTCTTTTTTAAATTCATTTTTCAAATGCAGTCTCAGACAAGATCATATTATAGGGTAGGTAAGCAGTGGATTTAGTGTTTTTCTTAAAATGGGACCTTGTGCTTTTTCAAAAAATTTGTAATTGGTCATCTTATTTCTGAATGAAGTAAAATTTGAACATCGTGTTTGTGATGTGAATATAGTGGATAAGACCAGCTGTTATTGCATGGTTGGGGTCTAGAAATCTATAAATTCCTGTTATATTATTACTTTCATTATCACCGTTAGCGTAATTTTTTAAGAGATAAAATTTTAGAATTCTCCTTTTTTCTCACTTATATCTCGACTACTTGGGATCGGTCACCCTTATCTTAAATTTTCATTTGACATAATTTTCCCATACATAGGCTGTCCTTATATTGCATTCAACATCCCTCAGTTTCATTTTTGGTCTACCTCTAACTTTTCTTCCTTCAACATTTATTTCTATAACTCTTACAGCTCCCGATTCCGTTGTCCTCATAACATGACTAAACCATCTAAATCTACTTTCTTTCATTTTATCCACGATTGACGCTACATCTACACTCCCTCTTATATGTTCGTTTCTTATTCTATCTTCTTTAGTTACTCTACTCATCCATCTAAGCATTCTCTGTTCTGTCAACCACCCAACACTTTTAATCATATATCATAGCTGGTCTCACTACAGTCTCATAGAACTTGCAGTCTTATTGAAATTCTCTTTTCGCATAACACACCAGACGATTCTCTTTACTTCACCCGCCCACACTAAATACTGTGTCTTACAATCTCGTTATTATCGCGGTTTTTTTGCACAAATAATGCTCATTAAATTCAGTAAAGGGTAAGAAGGCCAAGTCTCTCGTACATTTTAATTTTAATAACTTAATTAATCATTTATTTTCTCGAATTATACTCTCAAATATTTTCTACAATGATTGAAGAAGATGCTCTGTCAATAAATATTAAAGAAATATAAGCATTACCGTAATTAATAAGCTAAGGAGGACCGTGTGGTTTATTGAGAGTATCAAGTGGAGTATATGTTTTCTATTAAGTATCAGTACACAGCATAGATTAAATTAATAAACACGATAAGAAATGTTTTATTACAGTAGAACTTCAAAGCCTATTATTAGAATTTGAACAAGAAACCTAATATGCATTATTTCGCGGGAAAAAGTTAATGCAATTGTATAAAAATGTCATATTCTAGGAGAGTAAATTTATACGTACTATAATATTTATCAGCTTGTAATTAATCGATTTGGATATACAAATATTCAAAAGTATTTGAATAAAAATAAAAATTTATATTATATCACCAGATAAATTAAATAAAAACTATAGGAAATCATATCAAATTGATTAAACTTAACTTGGAGCTAAATAGTTTTAGTAGGAGAACCTTAGAAAAATTAATAAAAATGTAATTTAAGCTAGAACCTGTTTGTTCTTAGATTAAAAAAGTTAAATATAAATTTATCTAAAGTTTTCTATAGTGATATTTTAAAGTTATATAGAACACATTTGCACTGAATAACCTATTTTATTCTTAACGTATTGAATTCGTTATTAGCTTGAAAAAAAAAACAAATTTATAAATGTTATTTTTACAAAATACTGTGATTTATTGCAGAAATGAACTACGTAATAACGTACTTATTATAACAACTTATTAGTTAAGCGCTGTGTGGTTATAAATACGAACGAAAATTGTGAAATAAATTTTAAAAACCAACGCATCGAATATAAAAAACTTTCAATGGGAATTAAACATTTTTAAAAACATCATTGACAATAAATAAATGTGGAGATCGTAATAAGATTTATTTTAGTTTAAAGACGTAGGGACACAATTACTTGATCGTTAACTTAACAACAAATTCTGGTAATCGAGACAAAAAGAGTATAAAATCAAAATTAATTTGCTTAAGAAAAATGTTATAGACTTGTATAAATAGAGGAGACTATTTAATTTTTATTAGTTAAATTTTTGTATAATACTCAACCTTTTTTTTAACTTCGATGCTAAGCTGAGAAGGTATTAGTTTTTCTATGATGTGTTTTTTTTTGTCTGTTACCATTTTTTCTCAGCTTTTACCCGACCGATTTTAATGAACAATATGTCAAAAGATCACAAATTGTATCTAGTTGAAGACATTACCCTTGAAAATTTTCCCTCGTTCCCCATTAATGGGGGAAATCTCCAAAAAAATTACTATTTTAAAAATGAGTAATTTTTTATGTTTTTTTACTTAAAACTTCCATAACTTTTTAAAAAATTAATAAATCAACATAATTTTTTTTTATATTGAAACCTTAGATATTTCCATTTCATTTCATTTCATTATTTTGAATCTAACACACTTAACTTAACACTTAACATTNTCTCAGCTTTTACCCGACCGATTTTAATGAACAATATGTCAAAAGATCACAAATTGTATCTAGTTGAAGACATTACCCTTGAAAATTTTCCCTCGTTCCCCATTAATGGGGGAAATCATAAAAAAAATTACTATTTTAAAAATGAGTAATTTTTTATGTTTTTTTACTTTTTTTTCTTAAAACTTCCATAACTTTTTAAAAAATTAATAAATCAACATAATTTTTTTTTATATTGAAACCTTAGATATTTCCATTTCATTTCATATCATTATTTTGAATCTAACACACTTAACTTAACACTTAACATTTAACTTGTTCACAGGGCGGGGATTCAAAATTCCAACTACTTTACAAAAACTAGCTTTTTCAACAGAACTTCTGAAAATGTTCCGGAAATACTGCGTTTTTTAAACATATGTTAAATTAAAGCTTATGTTCCGTACTATAAATTAAAAAAGAAAAAACTGTCCCGACGACTTATCTTCTACTTGCAAATGGCTGCCGTAGTTAAAAAAACATGCTATTTTTGTGTTCAATTTTTTTTTTATTTATTTTAAAATACTTATACAAGGGTTATGTCATTGTAATGAGTCTATTAATTTTTATAAAATTTACCTGGATCTAACTTAGATTAAATATTAATTTAAACTTGTTTTGAATATTTTACCTCCTCTAAGTTAAGAAAAATGATTTTGAAATTTCGAACTAACTTAAATAGTTTTTTTTATAAAAATTATCACTGCCGATCACTGTGATTGCGTTACTAACTTTACATTTTTATAAGTTCGGGGTACAGAGTTCGAACTTCGTCAGCCAAAATAACTGTTTTGCATTTTTTTCTTAATTTTATTTTGAGGTGGAAAACAAATTTCAAAACGAAAAATTGAATAATAAAATTATATTTTTGACTATATTATCAATAAACGATCGATAAAAAATACTTATTTTGTCTAATATTAGTAGTTATAATTTATTTGATATTTTATGTTCTTTGTTTTCATTTTAAGATAATCGTCATAAGTAAGTTCAATGAAACCTCGTGGTGATTGAATAAAAGATGTTAACCTTTTATTTTATTATCAATATTATTTAAAATACCATTCTGAAAAATTTTGGGGACGTCAAAAATCATGAAACGACCCACCGCAAAAATGTCAATGCAGTCGTATCAATACATTCATAAAATTGTACAATTGAAAAACATTTATAAATCAAATATTTTTATTAAAGATTAAAGACAGCAGCATAGTAATTAATTTTTAATAAACTTCAACTATTCTTCTGAATATTTTCGAATGCATTGGTCTTATAACCGACTAAATCTGTGTACATGTAACGGCGTCTGTGCGAACCGATTAAGTTGAGGGACGTTATTGAAGTAGGTCTTCAGTGGCGCCTTGCTTGGTCGGTTTCGAGTTTTTTATTTATCTA